TTTATAATTATATAATTTATATATATAATTTATATAATTATATATGAAACAGTTTTTCTCGGCTTTTGCACAACTTTTTTACCATGTACAAATTATAATATTTGCGCAACGTAACGATATCGTTAAGACTACAGAATAGAGGCCTAAATTTGTTTATTGCACATTTGACAAGTATGTGCATCAATTCGGCAGAATTTGTTTGTCAATAAAGTATGGTGTCAAAATGTAACATAGAACACACTCGATTTTGCTGATAAAAACCCAATCATGTCATTCAGTTGTAATCGCTCTTTTGAGCAACTATCTCGTCGAAAATATGAATAAATAGCCGTCGTCTGCACGAAGTTTAATCAATGTGCGGGTAAATACATGAATGCGACGCACTAGAGTTTGTTTGTTGAGCCAGTCCTTTCTGTTTGCCAGATAACGAAAGTGCAGTTGTCACATTGCATTCTCGCGAAACTACATACAAATTATTTCGACTACGGTTGGTCGAACATTTCACTGTGACGGCTTTTTATCGCTAAATATACAAGAGATATAAAAAAGCTCCAGCTTCTTCAAACAGCTATGCGCGAGCGCGTTTTAATAGCAACGAAAATTATGTACTCGTTTATGCAGCGTGTGATTATATAATGTTATGCTCATATATGTCTCCAGAGATTTTACAAAATTTTATGATTACGGAGTCACGCAAATAAATTCAAATTAAAACGCTATTTAGTTACAACCAATGTAGAACCAAATTTAATAAAATACTTGTCACTTCGTAATCGATGCGTTCTCCTCACACATAATATTCCGCATCTCGATTTGGCAGCCGGCTGGCGAGCAAATCGGAACCGTGATATTTTTCCCGGTTGATGGATGTCGGATTCGTAAATTAGCTTTTGAAGAGGGACCAGGGAAGAAGGGAGATATGAAGGAACGAGATGTCGAATGCGTTAGCACGTAATCAAGACCAGATTTTTCCAAAGATATACGCTTTTTATGCGTTTCGTTGTCGACAATTACTTCTTTGGAAGTGGGAGGCTCAGCAGGGTGGGTGATCGATCGGTTTCTTTGCCTTCGACTATCGCACGTGGCTAGCGTATCATTTTATTGGTTTGTCAGTGCGAATAGGTCGTCGATCACGATAAGCCATCTTGATCGATGAGGCGATTCAGTTATTACTACATTTTTCCAATATTTTGACTTATTAATAACGTTAATTTTGTTAATATAGTTATATTTTTATTGACTGTTTAATTAACAATATTTTTTGTTTTTTATTACATTAAATCGATTTGAATTAAAAAATTATTCCTTCTCGGTAATATTTCAATCCATCATTTCAAGTCTGTCTCATATCAAGTCAAGGCGTCTTAAGTCTGTTTTTATCAATTAATTTTAATTTAATCTCGCTCCAACTACTTTTTTCTCAAAAACTCTTAAAATTCTTAAGCTAAAAAAAAATAAAGATTAAATTGAACCAAGATTAAAGTTAATCTCATGATGGAAACGGGAATTTATCTACTTTTTTAAAAACGATGGGTGACAGGTCAGCGACAAAAGAGAACAGGTGATTTTTCCTTCAGCGTATCATTTTTACATTTCAGTAGCATTGATGGACGGCCAAGTTGGAAGGAAAACAGTGTATTGTGCTTTAGATAAAAGCCATCAGCTTGTGCAGGTCCACAATGCACTATAGAGACAGGAGTGGAGGATAGAGTACACATCCCAAAGCCACTGCTTCATTCTGCTTTGCATACTCTTCCCGTACACAACGTGGGTTCATGTGCTTATATATTGAGTATCAATGTGTAGAGCACGTGTCACCAGGAAGATAGGCGCGCATTGAAAATATCGGAAATATTACGCCCTACTTGCGACAAGTTTGCACTGTCCCTTTTCCGATTATCTCTTTCAAACGTCATCATTGAAACGATCTCTTTGATAACGGCATTATCGCACTCGGAAATAAATATAATAAAATAAATCAATGATATCTCATTGTATATCTCGCGAAAACGAGAAGTAGTTGTATTTTGCTCGTACATCACGTACTTGGTCTATAAATACATTCGACTTTTTTGCATCATCGCTTTAGGTCGTTTACGACAGCGAAAAAATTGATACTTGCAATCTCGACGAGCACATCTGTCTCGCGTGTAGGCCATTTAATGGCCGACCAGGCCGACCACGTGAACTCATAGCTAGTGGCGATCGTTAACGGTTCAAAGAAGAGGGAAGAGAGAAGCAAAAAACTGCATTGACGCGGTGATATCTGGTTCGGCTCGCTTCGTTGGGTACACCGGGGAAGGTTTGGCAAACGATAGAAGAAGCGTGCGTACACAAGACCTCTTCCGGTTGTTTACGACTGAAGTTGTTAAGTGTAACTTACATCAGAGTCTTTGTTTTTCCGCTGTGACGATCTGTATTCTCATCTACCAAGAGAGTTTCAAGCAAAAACATCTTGTTTTTGTCATTTAAGGATAAATGCTCAAGAGAATAAAAAGAAAAAAGAAGACAAAAGAAGGAAAGATAATATCTAAAATCAAAATCGTGTATTCTTGATTTAATTCGAAGAGAAACAGAATTAAGAATGTTTTCTTTATTTTATTTCTCTGTAATGGCATTGTAATGGCATTGGTTTCAATTGAGAAAAAGTCATGAAGAATACTTATCTATGTGAATTGTGGAACAGATATTGCCATGATTTTACCGTTGTTTTCGATAACTCGATGTGGCCTCGAACGTTCAGCGAAAATTATTCTGTTTACT